CGGACTCTGTAAACTGCTTAGAGAGGGCTGAAAGCCCTATGAAGCGGTATATACGTCTAACTGCTATTGCTATTGCTATTCCTAAACTGCAATCTTTATGACTTCTGAGAATTGCACTCTCAACACATTTGAAATTCCAATGCATTTGAAAGCTAGCAAGTGAAAGAAAACTAGCTGTAAATCTAGGTTTAAGATCATATCCTATGTATGTGTTAACTGGGCAACTAAGGCCTATGGTGTCAGTAAAAATAAATGGCAATTGATTAGCTTGTAGTTCAGCATGTTCACCTGGTTTTAAAATGGAGCAGCAAACTATTTCTTATTTGTAAACTATTAAATTTCTGGCCATACCAAACATCACTGTGCAAGAGCTCAACTATCAATTCAAATGCCCTCTAGGATACTATTGATGGGAAATATTAGAGCTCCTGCCTCACCCTCTGAGCCAAGGACACAAATTCTAATTTCATTTTGATCTAAAGTCGAGAGTAGGTTTTTGCACCAGTAACTGGATTTTCAAATCAAATCATATTTGTTGCTAAAATAATGCAAAATCAAACTGTAGGTTTAATATGTATACATGCTTTCTACATATGCAATCTATCAAGTTGTCAAGATCTATGGTTTATGGAGATATACAGGCTGGCTAAAAGAAGGATATGATTGTATCCTTTGTTGATTAGTAGAGTGAAACAAGGCCCTAAAGAACCATACCAACACAAATTATAAGAAGGGAGAATTAATCCCCTATACCAGTGATGGCGACCTTTTTCATCTCGGGTGCCCAAACTTCTGGTTTGTGCATTGGGTTGTTTTTTGCCCTCCGGAGGCTTCAGGAAAGCCTCTGGAGGGCAAAAAACAGCTGAAATGAAAGCCAAAATCAGTTGGCCAGCATGTGCACAGGAGCTGACAGGGCAATGCCTCGCGTGCCCTAAGAAATACACAATTGCCATAGGTTCACCATCACAGCCCTATACCTCATCCCACCCTTTGACCAAAATTGATTTCTGTAACAATTTAGTCATATTATTTAGCTAATTTATATACAATGGTCTTCCTCAATCTGACATCTTATAGATATCTTTCGGGTGAAATTCCCATTAATACTCAATAAACATGATAATGCGTGTAGGTTTGAGGAAAACATACTATTTCCTCATACTGTTTTGCTTTTCTGTACTTTATTCTCTCTATAACTGTAGAATAAATTGTATCTGTCCTACCATCTTAACCTTTAAACATGCAGGCTTACTTACTCTAGGTCTTCATCCTCTGAATCAGATTCTTCGTTGTTTCCTCTGCCATTCTTAATCAAATCATCATGGCTCAATTCTTTTAAGACTTTATTCACATCAATGTCAAATACTTTTTCATATAGCAATTCATACAGAATAGCTAGTTAAGACACAAAACAAATACCAATAGGCATTTATCACAAACATACTTTAGTTATAATTAAAATAAAATAAAAACTCTAAAAGGGACTAATGACAAAACTGAGGATATTTTAAAGTTAGGCAGCAAATATAATTTTCCAGAGGTTAAGCAGCCGTGATTTGGGGAAGTGGCTAGACATGTACATATATTCTGTTAAGGAATCCAGAACTACATTTGCATAGCATTTAGATTTAATAAGGAAAATTTATTCCCATTTTGATGTACAGTACATGCTACCTTTCTGTCTGTAAGATATTTAAGGGTGTTAATAATTTAAAATAAAATGTAAATAATTAAAAACATAAAAATATTTAAAATTATTATTTTGGGAATCAAATATTTTATTTGATTGTAATTATTTGTACGTAATTTTAGATTATTAAATCCCTTGAATGATTTATGAGAATGTTGCAAGCGAGTAGAATTGAAAATGGAGAGGCAGATTTATCCTCTCATAAAAAGGGAAACAGAGACGGCTAATTATTAACTGCAATTCCCTAAGAAATACACTCTTTACCTCTGGGAATAATGCTTTGTATAGGTTAGCACAAACATTAACTTCAATTACTCTGAAAAACTTCAGCCTATGTTCAGGGCTTTTCATTTCCAAGCTGGCAAAGTAATTTACAGTTGCAGCAACAGATTTGAATCCTGGAGTATCAGATCAAATACTCAAAATGTGAGTTTGATATCGCGTTCATCTAAAGCACTTCCACAAGTTTCAATTTCCATTGAATTCCAACCTTTCCAAGAGCACTTTTTGAAGGCTCTGGTATTCAAGATGATGAAGAACTGGAATTCTCCAGACAGTTTTTCAGCTCCCAACTTATATCCCAAACTAAGTGAGATTCTCAATCATTTAGGTCATGGTTGTTCCAAAGGTGCTTTTTCAAGAGGCAACTGGAGTTTCGGGTTTTTGAAAAAGCACTTTTGGGATCCAAAACTAAGGGGGTTTTTTGTTTTGTTTTGTTTTGCTGTTCTACCATTACTTATAATCAGTTTTACAGCATCCACTTGCAAATATTCATGGAGATAAAGCAAACAATCAAACACATCAATTTTTATGCTACGTTCATTTTAGGTATGGTACACACCCATAAATATTTTATTAATAGTGGTATTTAAACATTTTAAACTACAATTCCAGCTACAATATAATTTAGGGAGGATAACTTAAATGTAGGAACTCATCTTAATACATTTTATGGATACCCATCACAAGGGCTACTAGTGCATCCAATTTGTTTCTTTTTCATCATTTATGTTACTTTACATATTTTTTTATTAATTTTATTTGCCATCTATCTCACCATGGGGGCTACACTAGGCAGCTTACAACAATAAAAATGGAGAAATGAAAACTGTAAACAGTAGTAAAATAATGGAAGAGTGGAACCTTGGAGGTTAGATGTTCCAGAGGCTGGGTGCTACAGCAGGGAAGGCACTACTGATCCCAATAGTAGGAGTTCTTTAACCGATGGGATTTGCAGTAGGGCCTCTCTGCCAGCATTTACGTTTTTGCCTGTTAAAACTGCCGCACCACATATAGAAACATGCAACTATGTGAAGAATTCTGATTCCACACTATGATTACGTTTCAAAGTTGATATATCACATTAATACTTACACTGACAAAGAGCAGCCTTGATTGTGTAGTCTATAGGGTAGACAATATCATAGTGATTGCCATTTGAAAAACACAGCAATATCTAAAAAGGAACACAAGAATACTTATGGCATAATAGTTAGCAAATTTACACATTGATAAATTAAAGACTAGCACAATACTTCCTACATGACTTCTGCAAAAACCTCACAATTCTTCCAGTTATATGACAAGCAAGATCTATTACAGTTGGATTCATCTTACCTTGTCGGGAAAGCCATTTTCAGTTATATAAGAAGGAGTGAAGTTTGGTTCCCGATATATTATAAAATCTTTTCTAGAAAACATATAAAGGGAAAAACCATCTATAAATCACAAGTGTTATTACGAAATGGATAATAAATAAAAATAGAACAGACTGGTCTTGACAGAAATTGTGCAGGACTCTTTGTTTAATGAGTTTATGTAATTCAGGAAAAATATCTTGTGAATTCTGCAATGGCAACATGTAACTTAACCGCAAGGCTCAGGTCAAGTAGCAGGAATTGACAATGGTTATTAGATGGAACAGGACTGCTTAACAGAACCTGATATTCCTTCCACTCTTCACACTGTACCTGTTTCTCCCATATCTGCTTCTAATACTTCCATGTCTGTCTTAAAATTGTCAAATAAAGGCCAGAAGATAAGTAAGTTTCTAAGGATTTTTAGCACAGCAATATCCCCGCTAAGTTTATTCTGCAAAGTTCCCCAAAAGATCTATTAAATGTGATGATCAGCCCTCAAGAAGCCGTGAACAAGCCTAGCAACAATAATCACACACAACATACTATTTTCTCCCTTCACACTATGCTTGCTCTGCCTTAAGTTCCCTGATTTCTTCCTTAAACATAAGGTTACAATATATAGGTAGTCCTCAACTTATGACCCCAATTGAGCCCAAAATTTCTGTTGCCAAGTGAAATATTTCTTGAGTTCTGCCCCATATTATGACTTTTCTTGCCACAGTTGTTAAGTGAATCACTGCACTTGGTAAATTAGTAACATGGTTGTTAAGTGAAACTGGTTTCCCCACTGACTTTGCTTGTCAGAGTTGCAAAAGGGGATCACAGGACCCCTGGACATTGCAACCTTCATAAATATGAGTCAGCTGCCAAGCATGTGAACTTTGATCATGTGACCATGGGGATGTGGCAATGGTCATAAGTGTGAAAAACGGTCATAAGGGACTTTTTTCAATGATGTTGTAACTTTGAATGGTCACTAAATGAACTGTTGTAAGTCGAGGACTACCTATAATGCATTATACATTATATGCCACTTTGGTTTTATACATGCATCTGTATTTCCCGGCAATGTTAGTAGCTTATATATTTCAGCAATTCTAATAAAAAGACTAATCAACTCTAGCAGCAATTATACCGGAAAAAAGTTTATCGATATGATCCTTCCTTTATTCCTACTCTTCTGGCCTTGTTCCCCAAGTATCTTGTTGTGGGACCTGATTTCTGAAGCTAGAATCAGTTGGAATTGTTGCTATTGTACCAGCTTCCCTGCTATACAGCAGCCTCCCTGTCTAAGCAGCTGAAGGCCATCCCATAGTTGGCGGTGGAGTTCCATAGGCTTATGATCCTAGAGACTTCAATCTGCCATTCCTGGGTTTGGCCTTGAAAGCAGCCCAAGTTCACAGCCACCATAAGCTTTTCCCAGATCATCTTGAGTCCGACTAGAGGGTCACACACCAGATATATTTTTTCAGATCATTGGCAATGTGAGCTAATGGGAAAAACTATCACTATTCCCCCCCCCCCAACATGGTGAGATCACACCCTGGTGTCCTTGGGATTCTCTTATGCCTCTCGCCTCCAAAAAGTTTGAGCATTATTTTGAACCTTAAAGAATTGTTTCTTACTTGAACATAAGAGAAAGAGCACTTATTTCAACTTGTCCAACCCATTCCTGTAGTAGCAAGAGAAAAAATATTGTAAGTAAATAATAAGTAACATGTAAATAACCAGTGAACTTCCCAAAGGATAGTTAAGAACCCTTAAATCATTAGCAAACAGCAATATTTAATACTTTGGTTTAACCTTTCTCAATTACAAATTATAGGAGATATGACCCAAATTGTAATATAACATATCTAGATGGCTCCAGATTGGGAAAGGTTTACTTCATAAAGCCTCAATAAATGTGCATTTTTTGCAACTCACCAGTATTAAAATTTTTGTAATTTCAAAGAAGTTTTCATGAATTTTTAATTTATTTAAAATCAATTCTTTCCATTTTTAGCATATGCTCCTTATTTTTCCTGAAACATGGCTGCCTGGTATTCAAAATATCCTGTCCCAAAAGTCTTGATCCATAACCTTATAACCTTATTAAATTGTTCAATTCCTGCTTTGCTTATACAGGCAGAAATGTATCCTAACTGTCCCTATTTTTGCTCTCCTTTAGAGTGAAGGCCCTATCCAACAATACAACCCGAGAACAGAATAGACTGTCTCCAAGCAATTTAACCAGAGAAAATAATCCCTTACTTCAAATTCCAAATACTACCTTTTTTATGTGAAACAACAGTGAAAATTCAACTATAAGGCTTAATGTATAATGCAAAATATTAAAAACATTGGCCTTGTCTCCACCGCTGCAGTTCAAATATGGGAAGGATTAATGCATTCTTATCCTTGCCCAATAAGTAGAAACATTAATTTGAAAAGCAGTATTACAGACAGAACAATAGCATGTTTTGTTCCAGTACTAATGCTTTCTACTCTTCTGGCTTCTCACTTCCTTCGAGGAGTCAACAGAAAAGAATTATCCCACCATTACCTCAAGGGAGAAGCTCAAAAATAACTGAACTTCAATCATTCCAATTACCATGAACACCAGAGCCAGAATAATACACTCCCTCAGTGAGTATCACAAATGGACTACCATTCTCCCTATTTTAAATTTACAGAAGCAGATAAAAATCTCCCTATGAGTTTTATTCCTCCAATCCCCAATTCTACTTGCAAAACTAAGTGGAGAAGCTATGGGTTGTTCAGTCGGTTGCATAAACAAATTACATAGTGAGGTACTTTAATGTCTCTACCACAACACATATTAAGGACTGTGATTCTATACTCAGTCCTTAAAGACCTCCTACAAGGCTTTGAGAATGGAGGCCATCCTCAATTTAGAGGAAAAGCTGTTCTGTATGAGGGAACTGCCACCCAGAACACCCATCGGGCTCCTCTGCTCACCTCCTGATAGATGGGGACTTAGCACAGACAAAATATATATAGGAAATATGGTCTTGTTAGATACCCAGGAATTATTAGTCAGGAGTTTTATCCTGATAATAGATTCCCATACCAATTACCTTCATTTATCTTATTATTTCTAATTGCCTACCAAAAACAGTTTATTCACTAAGTCATTTTAAGTTTCTAACAAGATAAAAGATATGCCAAGACCCATCTTACTGCTTAAGGTTCCTTATGTTTTCACATGCACTATTTATTATTTTTGTGTATTCTGCGAGGTTTGTCTTTCTTTTGCAAGCTATAATAAACAAATGGCTATAAACAAATCTGTTTGCAAGAAATGTACATGTTTTGTGCAGCTTCAAATCTCTCCCTCAAACACTTGAAGTAGTGGCTACAGATAGTCTTTGACTTAACAAGAATTCTGAAGTGACAATGGCACTGAAAAAGTGACATGACCATTTTTCACATTGACCATTACACCATTCCCATGGTCACATGATCAAAATTCAGACGCTGGATAATATATGACTCATAACTGACTCATATGAATATAAATATATGAGTCACGTACAGTAAATAAATATGAGTCAGTTGCCAAGAGTCTGAATTTTGATCATGTGACCATAGCAACGCTGTAACGGTTAATGTGAAAAATGGTCATGTCACTTTTGCAGTGCCCTGTGGTCATGTGATCACTTTCTGCAAACTTCTGACAAGCCAGATTCACCTAAACACTATTGTTACAAATTTAACAACTGCAGTGATTCACTTAACAACTGTGCCAATAAAGCTCATAAAGTGGGGCAATATTCACTTAACAACTGTCTCGCTTAGCAACAGAAGTTTGGGCTCAGTTGTGATCTTTATGTCAACGACTATCTGTAGTTACCCATGCATTTTACTTTTTTAACCATTCTTTGTAAAACTGTTACATGTACTATTCAAAGAAAGTTCATTTGTGAGATTCAGTCCTTAAGGAAGTAAGAAAACCCAAATGTGATATATGTGGTTAATTTGATAGTACATACCTGTGGATTTTCCAGACGCTTCAGATATTCCTCAAATGACCCCTCTATAAACTGTTAAGCATGAAAATGAAGAGGTTTTAATAGCAGTGTGTTGAAACATCCATTTTTACTCTTAAGTAAAGATAACAAGGCTCAGTTCTGTAAAAAGATTTGATCAGAGACTCTTACTTCTAATCTTCAAATTGTGAAGACATGATTTTTCATAAGTAAAACTCCAAAAATTATATACTTCTGACTAGCATCTATGAATGCACCAGGTCATATATTAACTTCCTTTCCATAATTGCAGGCTGGTAACTCAGTAGGAGACATTGGGATATTGTGGTAAGCCTCCAGGCTGTTTACAAACTTAGTGATTTTCAGATGTAAATGGACTTCAAATCCCAGAATTCACTATGGCTAAGAATTCTATGAGATGAGGCTGCATACCTGCAAGTTTTCACTGTTGATAAATGCTTCACTACAGATATTTAAAAAATTTGAAATAGTGCATGTATCTTGAATGCATCCACTTCTCATGTTTCCATATACAAAGTCAATACATTTATGATATTAACCACATTTCACACACACACACACACACACACACACACACACACACACACACACACACACACACACACATATATATATATTGTTAGAACATAATGTTAGCCACTTCTACACTCAAAGCGTTCTTAAAAATCTAATGAGTCCTAATGAGTCCCAGGAGGTATCCAACTTCATAAAAGGTAAACGGTTGATGAAAACTTTAATTACTCTGGTACTCACCAAATGTTTTGGGCTAGAATTTTCATAGATCAAAAACAGCACTGCCACTAGGCATTTTAAGTGGGAACTTTGGAAGTTGAAATTAACCGTAGTTGAAAGTAAATGAATAGTCTTGGGATGATGTATACAGCATGTAAGAAATAGTTTTATTGAACTGCCTGATACTGATGTGGCACAGTATCACCTATCAATTATATAAACCTTGGTTAAGTGACAAGTAGTTGAATTTACCTTACATACTAAACCAGACAACATGGTTTAGCAACTTCAGTATGCTAAACCAAAAAAAGCAAACAAGACCATGGATTTTTCATGGTTATTAGACTTTATGCCCAGAGTTAGTTTCTTCCCATAAAGCAAAACAAAAAATTTGAACATCATCATGTGGTAATAAACCTGTATGGCTTATTTAGTACATTTATGTTTTGTCTTCTATTCATTATAAATCACATTTGACACAAGGAGTAACCAAGAAGTAGGTCTATTCAGGCACTACCCATAGATCCTCTTAGCTGGAATAAAATGCTTGTCATAAGCAAATTGACCATGCTTTTTCTCAGAGCATAATAAAAAGGAGATGTGCTTAAAAGGTTCAGAATGGCTTTAATAGTTATCCATAATATAATAATGTTTTACCGCTTCAAATTTCTCTCTGTTTTTCCACAGATAGTTTATACAGGCCATCCTAACATCAAGATGCTGAGACTGCGAGTGGAAAACCTGGAAAAAAGTTATTTAAAAAAGAGTTCCAAGTTTATGTATATTTATTTAGAATTTAAAATCTAAAAGTTGTTAAAGTTAAAAGTTGTTAAATTAGAGCTAGAATTCAGCTTTAATTTATAAATTAAATTGTTCCTGCCAATTTCAAAATAAGCTTTTTAAAAAATGATTATTTAAAATAACATATCCAGAAAAAACCATCTGGGTCCAATCTATATTTTGGAAACAATATTTTTTTTTATTTCAACAATACTTAGTTGTTTCATTTTTCTAGGAAATTAAAAAATAAAATTATCTCTTACCTTTCGGAACTGAGACTGTCTTTTCAACCACCATATAGGTTAGCAACAGTTATGTTTATAATGAAGCTAAGTAAAAGACCTAATTCAAAGAAATTATGGACCCATCTTAAATCTGTTATCATTCCATGCAACTAGTCACAGAAATATCTAGACATAGATGCAGTACATATTAAATCAATTTTGGCACTTTTCAGATGAATGTATTACAGAATTATCAAAATATAAAGTGTACAATAATGCAAAATCTCAAGAAACGAATATCTGAATTTTTAAAGTTCAAGAATCAGATGAAGATACTTAAAAACTACTTATTCTTTATAGAATAGAGAGCATGTTGATACATGTTTTGCCTGATTAATGAATCACCCCTGGCCTAGATTGTGGTTTAGTATTAGGTTAACCTGGAAACAAGGTTTCTCCCTTAGAAACATTTTTTATTGACATTTGAGGAGAATCCAGAACTAGTGACCCAATCTACTGCAGGCAATATAAGGACAGGCAATATAATGGCATTCACCTATTTGGGACTACAGCTCCCATAATTTCTGTTCTTGTGCTGGGTTTAAAGAGTTGGAATTCCAAGCAACTTGAGGAAAGGCAGTTGCTTATCTCATAAATTCCACAAACGACATGCAAGTCAAACCAAGGACTTCCTGATGAATATTAACTTTTCTTGGGAACCATCCTAAAGTATGGAATGGAACTGTATCTATATGGAGGGAAGTATGCAATGGAGTACCCCAAGGCTCTGTTTTAGGCCCAGTACTCTTCAACATCTTCATCAATGATTTGGATGAGGGAATAAATGGGGAACTCATCAAATTTGCAGATGACACCAAGCTGGCAGGAATAGCCAGCACTCCAGAAGACAGGCTTAAGATACAAAAGGATCTTGACAAACCTGAACATTGGGCACTATCTAATAAAATGAAATCCAATGGTGAAAAGAGTAAGGTTCTACATTTAGGCAAGAAAAACGAAATGCACAGGTACAGTATAGGTGGTACCTTGCTCAACAGTAGTAACTGTGAGAGGGATCTTAAGAGTCCTAGTGGACAACCATTTAAATATGAGCCAGCAGTGTGCAGCAGCTGCCAAAAAAGCCAACACAGTTCTAGGCTACATAAACAGAGGGGTAGAATCAAGATCACGTGAAGTGTTAATACCACTTTATAATGCCTTGATAAGGTCACACTTGGAATACTGCATTCAGTTTGGTCGCCATGATGTAGAAAAGATGTGGAGACTCTAGAAAGAGTGCAGAAAAGAGCAACAAAGATGATCAGGGAACTGGAGACTAAAACATATGAAGAATGGTTGCAGGAACTGGGTATGTCAAGTTTAATTAAAAGAAAGACTGGGGAGACATGATAGCAGTGTTCCAATAACTCAGGGTTGCCACAAAGAAGAGGGAGTCCAGCTATTCTCCAAGGTACCTGAGGGTAGAACAAGAAGCAATGGGTGGAAACTAATCAAGAAAAGAAGCAACTTAAAACTGAGGAGAAATTTCCTGACAGTTAGAACAATTAATCAGTGGAACAGCTTGCCTCCAGAAGTTGTGAATGCCCCAGCATTGGAAGTCTTTAAGAAGATGTTGGATAGCCATTTGTCCAGAACGGTATAGGGTTTCCTGCCTAGGCAGGGGGTTGGACTAGAAAACTTCCAAGGTCCCTTCCAACTCTGCTATTGTATTGTATTGTATCTCAGACCTGATAATTCCTCTCAGATCATCAAGTACCACTTTCATATCAGAATCCAATGTTATGTGGGTGAAAATGAAAGTATATCAATATTCTGGAAAGCTTTCCATTCCTGCCTTTTTAAAAAAAAAGCTTAGTCATTAGGGCTACAGAAAGCTAGCCTAAATTAAAGCAACCCTTGGGGCATCCATTTATTCAAAAGGCCAGACATCCTGCAGGCTGCATTTAAATGCCAGTTGGGACACACAAATACTCTACAAGTCTGCCCAGGAAAAACAAAGCCAATCATCTTCAATGAGTTTTGCACTTTAATAGCAAAGATTAAAAGCTTTAGATCCCTTGCATTTTTTTCTTGCTTTGCACTTTGCATATCATTCACACCCTATGTATGCCCGGTGAAATTATTAGACTTTAATGGATCAGAGTGCAAAATACAAAAATAGCCTCTTCTCCTCCCCCCTACTTTTTTTCTGGGCCAACACAATGAATCACTTTTTTTTTTTTTGAAACGGGGAAACAGAAATTTAACGCCAAAATAACTTTCTGGGTGCAAAAGCAAGTTTTCAGTCTCCCTAGAAACTAGGGTAAGCAACGATCTGGAGTCGCTGCAAGAAGGAAGGCCTGGAGAATGAGCTTCCATCTCGAATTTTCCATCCCAGGTGGATTTCTCTTCCATAAAGCGGCTACATCCTAAGTGGTCCCTTTTCGCCCTGCCTGGAGTGAGCCCAAAGCTAGAAGCACAAAACTTCCCGAGTAGCCATCTCCAATGTGGCGGCAGTTTGTGATAGCCCACAGCCGGCCCCGCTCAGCCAAGACCTCCTTATAATTATTATTTATTGTCAGCGCACAACATATATACAAGGAGATTGGTTATTATAACCTTCCCGCCTAACGGGAATCTCGATCTGCTGCGGCCTACGGCGAGCCAGGATTCGCTTCCTCGCCCATCCAGCCGTTTCTTCGATTATTTGCCCCCTCCACCAGCCTCTCGTCTCCGGAGAGTGATGGGCATTGGAGTGTAACAACTTGGCAGAAGAGCCCGAGGCGTCCCCACCCTACCCCGGCCCTCTGACCCGAACGGGGGCTGCTTACGGACACCCGCACATTTTACCTGTTCGGCCACCGCTCGGAAGAGGCACGAGCCGTCCTTCGCCACCCGCTTGCGGTACAATCCCTGAGATTGCAAGTAGCCGTCCATGGCAGCCTCGGCAGGGCTCTCCACACCGTTGCACAGGCGGCTCTGCTGCTCCTGCTTGCTGCCGGCCGTCTCCTCCTCCTCCATGTTTGTTTATTGCTGCAGAAGCGGCAGGGAAGTTCCCCCCCCCACTCCTCTCTTTAGTTAGCCCCACATGGTTGAAAAAGAAGCTAGACGGCTATAGAACAGAGGGCGAGCGGCATGGAAAGCAACCCGCCGGGAAGGCGAAAGGTGGTTGCCAAGGCGGCGGCTAGAGCAGCGGGAGGCGCCGGATTCACGTTTCCAGCTCGCATGTGGGACTCTTGAACCGGAGACCTGCTTCCCCCCACCACCACCACTTCGGCCTCCTCCTCCTCCTCGGGACACCCGCCGGGCTTCTAACCTCCACAAACCCCAGCGCTCCCTCCCTCCCCAAAACCAGCTCCCGGCGGCGACTTCGGCGCGTCCCACTCGGAAACGAAACACGCGGCGTTTCCAGCGAAACGGACAGCCCTTAAAAAGTTTGTTTTCACTTTCAGAGCCAGGCCGGCCAAGGCTTTCTGGGAGTTGTAGTTCGAGTCCAGCAGGAAGTGGCAGCGGCGTGAAGGGAGGGGCGACGATCCCGCCCCGCTTCTTCCCGCCTTGTCTGGCGGGCTTCCTCACCGAAGGGGGAGCGAGCGGGCTGGCGGGCGGGAGCTGCTGAGTTATTTGGTGACCTTGGCACTCCTTGTGATTACTTTCGTGTGATTGATCTAAGAAGACAGGTCTAAAAAGAGCTGATTGCGGCGGAGTCTTGCATATCCTGCGGTTGCCTTCTCATAACAAGCCCAACCAAGAGTAACTCGGCTGTTTAGCTCAGGGGTCTCCAATCTTGGCAACTTTAAGCCTGGTGGACTTCAACTCCCAGAATTCCCCAGCCAGCAAAGCTCATAACAAGCTCATTCCCCAAAGCTGGCTGGGGAATTCTGGGGGTTGAAGTCCTCCAGGCTTAAAGTTGAAGATGAAACTCAAATACTTTGGCCACCAAATGAGAAGGAAGGACTCACTGGAGAAAAGCCTAATGCTGGGAAAGATTGAGAGCAAAAGAAGAAGGGACGACAGAGAATGAGGTGGTTGGATGGAGTCACTGAAGCAGTAGGCGTGAGCTTAAATAGACTCCAGAGGATGGCAGAGGACAAGAAGACCTGGAGCAGAGATCTTGCTGGCTAGAAGTTGAAGTCCACAAGTCTTAAAGTTGCCCAGTTTGGGGACCCCTGGCCTGGAGGAACGTTGTCCATGGGATAGTGATGGGTCAGACACAACTAACAACAACAAGGCTTAAGGTTGCCAGTGTTGAAGACCCTTGGTTTAGCTCAAAAAAAAAAAAAAAAAAGCCCACATCCCAAGGGTCCAGTTGAGCATTTCTCGACCTTGGTTATTTGAAGATATGTGGATTTCAACTCGACGCATCTTCAAGTGACCAAGGTTGAGAAGACACTGATCCAGCTACACAGAACACATGGAATAAAAAGACAGCTCAGAGCTGTCTTCATACATTTCCCCCTCTTCCATTCAGTCGTGTCCGATTCTTGGAGCCTGCCTGACAAATCCCTGCAGTTTTCTTGACAACAAGAGGCTAGTAGTTAAATATTTAAAATTGTAGTTTTTGTAAGGCTAGTTATTTTCTGTTCTTCAAAGCATATGTCATAACTGTTCTCCTCTGAGTTAGAAGATTACCTGATTACCAGTGACGTGCAGTCAGGGGAGGCAGGGCCTCACCACTGTCATCATGAAAAGAAAAGGAAATTAAAAGGAAAAAGGCGGAGGGAGTTGCTGCCAGAGTCACAGTGGGTGACTGCTTAGTGCTTAACTGTTTAAAAAAGCCTCTTAAAAAAAGTGCCCTCTGCAGGAGGAGGCGGGAGAACCACGTGCCTCATTTAGTCTATGATCACTCGAGCAGAGTTAAACAAGGGTTAAAAGCTGAAAAATTCCTTATGTAGATGAGGCACTTGGTTCTCTCGCCTCCTCCTGCAGAGGGCACTTTTTTTAAGAGGCTTTTTTAAACAGTTAAGCAGAGTCATCCATTGGGGACTCTGGCAGCAGCTAATAAAGCCTGACCTCAGCAGCTCTTGCCTTTTTCCTTTTA